TTCTTCTTCTCTCTCTCTCTCTCTCTCTCTCTCTCTCTCTCTCTTTTCTGGAGAATGCATACAAAGGGATCGGTGATAAATCTCTTGTCGCGTTACCAGCATCAACGGCACTCCAACGGCACTCGCCGTTCTCCTTTCTTTCGAGTGGTTATCGATCTCGCGCAGCGCTTGCTCATTATCTCCGCTTATTACAAAGCGGTTCGTCGTCCGCGTGGTGTGCACGCTGCCGCGTGTGCCAATTAAGAATATCTAATCCCGCGAAACGCGGCCACGGGGTAAATCCGATATAGCGACGTGGCCGCGCGCGGCGTGTGGTAAACAGCCATGCGTCTTTATAATTGAACGAGGTATGCGTCGCGTTAACCGTTAACACAAAATAGCCCGTTCCTACGAGATGAGAGAAAATGAAAAGCAAACCAATAAAATTATAACAATTACGAAAGGAATGAAATTCCTAAGGAATGAAATCTTTCGAATTTATGCGTGATATGTTAATGTCCTCAGTAAATATTATTTAATAATATAATTAATTTCACTTTATAAATGTTAATATGTATCTTCATATATAGTGATATATTTATATATTACTATATTATTTTTTAAGTAAAACATTAATATATTATTTATCTTCTGTATTTGTACAAAGTTGTTTTTTGAGATGAAGAAATGATGGAGGAAAATGAGGGATAAAGGACGGGTGGGATATCTTCCGATACCTTCGAGAAATCATCAAAGCTATCAGAGAACCATATTTTAGCGAGAGGTGGTAACGCGAATCTGAATTCAAATCTGAAATTTCGCGCTCTTTAGGAGATTATAATTTGGAGGAGGATACCCTCGGGCTCATTAGTGCCTTAATATATGAATTTATGCACGTACCAAAGCATGAAGCATATGTTTGCATTTTCCAACACATTCCAACATATTCTCCAACGAGCGTCTATGTTTACGCAATCACGCAGTGTAAATAAAACTGAAATGAGTTATGATTTCAAATATTAAAGTTTAACACAACTTTGGCTGAAAATTGCAGAAAATTAAAAAATAACAAATTACATTCGCGTACAACTGGCGGGCGCTGGGGAATGCTACGATCAATCTAGTAAACTCATTAGTGAGTTCACCGCAACCGATGTGTTAATTTCTCATTTATATAATTATAAGTTATACAATTACAAGCGTTCAATTACAATCGATAATAAAAGCTTTCCTTAAGTTTTTTTCAAGATTGAGTTCTAAATTTTCATTTTTGTAATGAAGCGAGTTGACTTCTCGCAAATTGAACGCCGGTCTATGATAGTTTACACACGCGATGGAGCGTACGGTCTCGGGGAGAATGTATTGTATTTGTAGGAGTACGCGATGTATAATCGCGTGCATGCGAGTATCGGAAAGAACAGAGGAGGGAGGATGCAATTGAGTGATGAATGCATCGGTTGGGATGCATGCTCACCTAGTTACGCCATCGGCGCGTAACATAGATGGAGATTCATCGTTCCGCTGTTCTAATTCAGGTACTGGGGTATCCTTAAATAGCAAAGTCTATTTACAGACATTACAATTCAAAATTTTATTGAAGATGAAGATGAGATTACGTTCAGTCTAGTAATAATTGGATGTAATACCAACATTTCTTTTATTTCACATTATCCTTTTATTTCACATTAACATGTTTTTTTAAGAATTTTCAAAATTCCGTAAATCTTTCCTCGTTTACGATATTGCTTTGTTTAAATACACTAAAAAAAAAAAATAAGTTTATTAAATGTTGGCTTCTTAATCTTAAGCTTTTCAAGATGTTACCAGGTTTCCCTCAATGATTAAAATGTATAAACGGAAGGGGAGTCTTTACACACGATAATCCCAATATAAGGCTCTCGATTTTTCAAAAATAGAGAGCAGGAACATCATTTCGTAAAAATTATAACTATAATGAAATTAAAAACGAGTTTCATCCACAGACAAAAAAATTTGTCAGAGACCAAGACTCTTTTAGGACGGCAATACTGTCAAATAATACTGCAATTCATAATTCGAAAATTAAAAAAAATATTTAGATTAGTTAGATTAGTTACGGAAATTTTACGGAAATTATACGGAAATTATACGGAAATTTTGTCTAGAAACTTGTGAAAATAAATATCGAAAAAGAGACAAAAAGAACACTTCTTCTTTAATGAATATATTCAAAGATATTCATGTTTGGGACAGAGAAAAGAGGAATACAAATCAATATCAGGCGATGAATTTGATATTAAACTTGATGAATGATTTAATGTGCAAACTTGCAATAACCACAATAAGCGGAAATTAATCGCTTAATCGCTAGTGCGACGTAATTCGAATAGCAATACATTAATTTCTATGTAAGTGATGAAATGACGTTATTACGTTCATATATATCTACATTTGTAATACAAATACGATTAAAACCTTATTCGTAGTGGAAAATCCAGTTTGTAACTCACACATTTATAAATCAACGTCTCGCGATTTTCAGCAATCCACTTGTTACAGAGATATAAAAAGTTTACACGAGTCATGCTAACGCTATTAAAAATATTGTGTCGCTCTTTTCCATTACTGACAGTTTGCTTAAGAAAGCTACAATAAATGCACAAAGAAAGAGGACTGTAGTATTGTAGTTTCCGGATTTATTTTTTTTTAAATAACTATAAAATTTTGGGTTTGTAAAATGCTAGAAATCTGAAATCTCGGATGGAGGAAAACTTAATCAATCGCAATGATTATGTTGATCATTTGGTTAATATGATTGATCAATTTCTAACATCGTGAACAAGTCTTAAAAAAAATATTAACTTGTACATTGATTGAGTAGATTCTGAAGAATTTTACTTTTAAGAATTTAAATAAAAGTAAATATGATAATGTTACACAGTACTATAAAACTCTGTTTAAGAAGCAAGATCTATCGATGAAGAATTCAAATTATAATTATTTGATGTAATTATTTAATGAAAAATTCTTGAAAATTTCGAAGCTACATGAGTGTGTGTGATAATTTCAATTAATCGTATAGATTTAAAAAAATGTTTTTCAAAATGATTTGAAAAAAAAAACTTCAAATTTCACATTTTACATTTTAACATCTTTAAACTTAAATCTCGTTTTCAGAAACGAAAAATTAAACTGAAACTATTCACTTTGTGAAGATACTCTTGAAACTTTAAGAAAACAGAAATTGTTCTAGTTATTTAAATACTATTAGTTGAAAACAATTTCGAGAAAAAAAACGCGTTTAAAGTTTCAGTATCGGATATTATCAAATTTATTAACTTATAGTAAATCTATCGTCGGTGAAGTGAACACACAGACTAAATTCAAGGAAACTTTTGTAAGCGTAAACACATAGGGCTAAGCAAGGTTGAAGTTGAAGGTCTGAAAGTCGTTTTAAAGCCAACTAAGCGCACACACTATAATTTGCTATGATGTAATTCAAGAAATACAGCGAATTTCATTAGAATCTTTTAGAAATATACTTTTCAGATTTAAGATATTTTTCAAAAAATGTAGAAATTGTTTTTTTGAAAATGTTACTGTAGCATACCTCTTTACACTAGAAGTAGCGATCATTTCTATTTTTTAAATATCTTTTTTTCTCATATTAAACTTATCTTTGAATTTTTTAATTTTGCATCAAATATTTTCTTCATTTTGATGGAATATTAAAATATTAAAATTTTGAAATTCTATCTTTTTGTGTTGTGTGATATCAGGAAAAATATAAAAAAAA